TGGAGAGCGGCTGCCAGTCTGAGCAGACGTTACTTCATGGAGCCGTGGTCTGATTCAGTGTAAGGCGGCTTCGTGGGCAGGGGCCGTGGTGGCTTTGCTTGGCAGGCACGTACCCAAGTTCTGTCCCCGGCAGCATCTTTAGTTAGAAAGGACCTGGCAGGAGGTGATGCGAACGACCTCTGCCTGAGACCCCGGAGAGCCACTGCCCATCTGAGTAGACGAGGCTGACCTGGGTGGACCGAGGGTCTGACGCAGTAGTGGGCCGTGTCACACGTACACGAGGGCTGGTGCTATTCTAACAGCAGGTTTCGATAAACCCAACCATCCAATGTCGTCTTCTCCACTGGGGTCGAAAAGCTTATTTTTAAGTTCTTCTACTGTAGGACAGCGCTCTGTGTGCCTCGGCGTTTAGACTGCCGGCCACATGACCACGGAAATGTCTTCAGACAGCGCTGGCTCTTCGGCTTGGAAACAAAGATAAGCACTGCCCCCTAGAGTCGGATTTGACTAGCTTTCGAGCAAGGGAAACCTTTACCTTTTTTTACTGTAGAACTGGGGGGGGGTCACTTCTCTGTTATGTGTACAGAATATTGGTGGAAATATTGTGTGTGTGTGTGTGTGTTATGAATGATGCATTATACGTCACAGCTGCAGAGTGTAGATGTTTCCGTATTCTGTTGTGGTGCCTGCAACTGTTACTTACAAATTTGCGGCATGAAATGACAGTTGACTGTCTGGGCTTTAGACCTCAGAAAGGTAGACCCTCGAAGGAAAGGGACAAAGGATCTTGTGGCACCTTAGAATCCAACAATTTATCGTGGCATCAGCTTTTGTGGATTAGACCCCTCCCCCCCCCAAAGCAGGGGCATGAGATGAGTTGGCACGCATCAGATATGAATAGGCAGGGAAGAGTAATTGTCAAGAATGGGCTCAAAAGGCAATGACATATAAGAAGTCCAGTCCGTGATGCTTCTACATCGAACTCAGCTGTATATAAAGCCAGCACAGACCTTTGAAGGAATTTGTTAAAATGGAGCTGGACTGGAATTGACTGTCCCTTTATGCCTTTAAGTTTAGCAAGAACCCCAGTGAGCTGCTGCTGCTGCTGCTGCTGCTGCTGCTGCTGCTGCTATTATTATTATTATTATTATTATCAATCATGAGAAAGGGATTTAGAAGGCTTCTTCTGGGATGCGGAGACTCTTCAGTCAGCAGAAACAAACAAGCAATGCAAGGTAGAACGTTTTACTAAAATATCTGGGAAGAATTGGTGTATTATTATTATTATTATTATTATTCATTTCGTAGAACACCCACCGCTCAGGCTTCACTGGACTCTTTTGGTTTGCTAGCTATTGGGGGTGGGGGGACGTGCAGATCTGTCCTCGCAGAGGAGGGAGAGCTTGTGCCTGAATAAAACTTGGTCTTAAAGGTGCCACTGGACTGTTTTGGATTGCTAACTGGTGGTGGGGGCTCTGCAACCTACCTAGCTGCTTCTTGCTCCTTGTGGCCTGGGGCTGCTGGGAGCAGGGGGCGGGGCTTGTTGCATGGTCCCGCCCCCTGAGCTCTTTACTGCCATAGCTCCGCTCCTGTGTACTCCTGCAAGAAATGACCCATTATTATTATTAGTATTATTAGTATTAGTATTATCCTTTTAGTGCGTGTAACTGTTGTCGCTTTTCCATAAAATACTCCAAGCAAATTACCACAATCCCATATAAAACCAAGCAATTAAAACTTGTGCTAAAATCAACAAATCAATAAGAGTACCTGTCAAAGTGAGCTTTGACTCACAAAAGCGTCTACCCTGGAGAGATTGTGTTGGTTTTTAAAGGTGCTACTGGAGTAGAATTTGAATTAATGGGAGCAGGAGAGGGGAGATAGTCCAAGTCCGGTTCTTTTCCAGATCTTTCCTCCAAAGCGTTGAAACCCAAGCCATGCAGCCAAGCCCCTGCAGGAGGTCACCTGCTTCTGGTGTGGACATTCAGCAGTGGGAGCTGTATGAGGCCATGTGATTCAGAGGAGAGGCGCCTTGGTTCATTCAATGCTAGAGAGAAGCAGCAGGGAGCAACCAACTCCCCCCCCCATTGACTACAGAGAGCTTTGGCCTGACCCAGCCAGGTGATTCATAGTCGTCTTCCATTCGCCTGTCCTGGTGTGTTCATCCCTAAAGACAGCTTTTCTGCTTATTTTAAAGGGGTGCCCCTACTAGAAGACAGTTGCAGAACATATGTCTGGGTCAATGCTTCCTCTAAGCCGTGCAGTCCTGTGAGCAAATATCTTACTTTGTGAGCTGCTGGCATTAAAGCTGTGAGCGAGCGATTTGGCTGCTGCAGAAATTAGTTTGCTCTGGAGCCCTCCTTCCTGAGCTAAGGCAGAAATGCGTGAGCCGGAGGCTAAAAAACTGTGAGCTAGTTCACACTGACTCAGCTTAGAGGGAACACTGGCCTGGATGTTCCCCATCCACTGAGGAGTTTGCTGTTGACCAGCCATTATTAAATATAAATTCAGTTACCGCCAGAAGAAAGTATTTAATATTTGAGTGCCGGAAGCCCGAGCAGCAACCCCCCTAAGGTCCGTGGATTTTCGCTCTTCTCTCGGTGGAGAAGGCTGAGAAGTGTTGACTTTTCCTAATGAGATAAGGACCGAGGTGGGGCTTGAATCAGGGACTTCCGGGTGGCAGACCACGGCTCGCATTCTCACCCAACATGCCACTCCCGTGGACTTCCATTGGTACTTTCGAGCATTCCAGGAGTGAATGTAGTTTGGCAGCCTTGAGTAGTTAACACACAAATCTCGTCGTACTGAAGGAGTCGATGGTCGGTCGGTTGTGCCGGGGGGGGGGAGCTCGTTCACGCAAGTTCACCGTCTCTCTTTGCCCGCAGGCACCGGAACTGGACACGGAGTCTCCGCGGCGGTTACCGTCGCGGCTGTTCACCGACCCTGACCGGACTTTTGAAAGAGAAACCCAGACCGCCGAGATTTCTCTGACCTTAGTAGCATCATTCCAAGCGATGGAGAAGAAAGTGGACTCTCACGCCACCCGGCTGCTGGACCTGGAGGGCCGGACGGGGACGGCCGAGAAGAAGATCGTAGACTGTGAAAAAACCGCCGTCGAGATTGGGAACCAACTGGAGAGCAAGTGGGCCGCCCTGGGGACCCTGATCCAGGAGTACGGGCTGCTGCAGCGGAGGCTGGAGAACATGGAGAACCTCCTCAAGAACCGGAACTTCTGGATCCTCAGGCTGCCCCCGGGCTCCAAGGGGGAGACCCCCAAGGTCAGTGCTCCCGGCCGGTGCTAGAGGAGAGGGAGGTTCCCCCCAGTCACCATAAGCCACCGAGACTTATCCTCCATGAATCTACTGAATCCCCTTTTCAAGCTGTTTATTCCTGTGGCCCTCACTACATCCTCTGGCGTAAATCCCACATTTTAATCACTCTGTGTAAAGTAGTATTTCCTTTGCCTATCAGCTTCACTGGATTCTCTTGAGTTCTAGTATTTTCTTGAGTTCTAGTATCTCTCCACACCCAGCATGATTTCATAAACTCTTATCATGTCCCCCCTTAGTCATCTCTTTTCCGAACTGAGAAGTCCCAGAGACTCTCCAGCCTCTCCTCACAGGGAAGCGGCTCCAACCCCCAATCATCTTGGTTGACCTCCTCTGTACTTTTCCCGACGGTGTCCTTTTTGAGATATGGTGACCAGGACTGTACGCAGTATTCCAAATGAGGCTGTACCGTAATTGTACAGGGGCATTACAGGGGCATTACAGTATCAGTCATAAGAACATAAGAGAAGTCAATGCTGGATCAGGCCAATGGCCCCTCCAGTCCAACATTCTGTGTCATATAGTGGCCAAAAATACCAGGTGCCATCAGGAGGTCCAGCAGTGGGGCCAGGACACCAGAAGCCTCTCCCACTGTTGCCCCCCCCCCAAGCACCAAGAATACTGTGCATCCCTTGCCCCAGACTGAGAGTTCCTATCTATACCTTGTGGCTAATAGCCACTGATGGACCTCTGCTCCATTTATTTATCCATAAGAACATAAGATAAGTCAATGCTGGATCAGGCCAATGGCCCCTCCAGTCCAACACTGTGTCACACAGTGGCCAACAATACCAGGGGCCCTCAGGAGGTCCAGCAGTGGGGCCAGGAGGACACTAGAAGCCCCTCCCACTGTTGTCCCCCCCCCAAGCACGAAGAATGCAGAGCATCACTGGCCCCAGCCTGAGAGTTCCTATCTAGACCTTGTGGCTAAGAGCCACTGATGGACATCTGCTCCATGTGCTTATCTAATTCCCTCTTGAAGCCATCCATGCTTGTAGCTGCCACCACCTCCTGTGGCAGTGAATTCTATGTAAGAACATAAGAGAAGC